TATATAAGGTCAGTTTGAGCAGGAAAATTGAAGGTGGCTAAGAAGAGATAGATATCGTCTGGCCAATGAAAAGTAGATTTGTCTCACTAATGATGATTTGTGATCGCTGGAAGTGCTACTGCGTCGTAAAGTGTTTTCCTGAACGATCTGATACGGGATACATTCATTGGCACTATTGATTCAGACACCATTTGTTGGACTATTAAGTTTAATAACTTGACTCGTGGGTACCTAAATGTTTAGTATTTTAATATTAATTTAATGCAAATGTATGCATACCCAATAATATTAAACAGAAAATCTTTTGTAACTAATATACAATGTTGCGGCTCGGTAAATATGTCGACACTGAAATGAAAATCAGTCTAGCATAGGGAAAATTGGGGAATTACACCGCGAAATGGTGAATTGCGCAGCGGAGTTATTGTGAATCGGCATAAATTGAGCCAGCATAAACCGAGGGCTACTTGTATTGCACTCACTTTTTACTCACTTATTCTGTATTTCAACTCACTTTTCTCACTTTTTCAAAGGGGAAATGGCACTCCCAGGCCTGAATCGGTGACCTTAAGGCCCTCTGTGTCCCCCGCAAAGGAAGATATCAATGGAATCATGCCTCCTAATCTGCCTAACGCGGCTCCTCCTGCGGGCTTTGCTTGTGCACCTCCTGCTGTCTCTCCTCGCGCCCAACCTTCACCTCTTGTCTCCATTTTTTTTTTTTTCGAGTTATCTAGGGTCGTTTCTAAATTCTCTCTCACTTCTGACACCACTGTGACCGTAGGTCGGTGTCTCTTTGACACCACGTCAGGAGACCTGAATCTGACACCACCGAGTCTCGCAGGACTCGGAAATCGCGACGTTACATCACGCGAGTGGTAGCGAGTGAGCGATTGGATTCAGAGTAGAGGTGAGGAGAGAGACGAGGAAGTAAATTAATCAGATTCCATGGTTGCTAACAATTAACAATTTTAATGAAACTAAAGGAAATACAGAGAGAGTCAATTTTGGTCATAGTTCCCCTATTCAAGAGAGGCCCGTCGAGAGAGAGAGAGTTTACAAACGAATCGCGGGTTGATAAATACCTTGTCGATGGACTGTTCTTTCTACTAGTTCCGAATCTTGTCCATTCACTGGTGTGGAGGCACGGAGGAGTGTAGAGGCTTAACCAGGCACAATTTTTTTCTTGCGGTTTGAATCCTGGGTCACGATTTTAATTCTGGAGGATGACTTTGTTGGGCGGACTTTTGAAGACGACTCTCTTCTTGAGGGTTTTTTGTTTTTTCTTTGTAATTCCTCTTGGGTTTTTCCATTAGGTCAGGTGGTTATTGTTAAGGGTCTGGCGTCCAATATGGGCTCTCCATCGAAAGTTCCTGGTGACACATCCCTGACTAACTGGATCTGACTCAACAAGGAACAAACTCTGTGGGAAATAATTTTTATGGCTTTTAGCCTAACTCGATAAAACGCTCGAATTTAACCGATTAAAGTTTCCAATAATTAAAATTTAAAACAACACTTTATTGAGGGTTGTTCGGCCCTCACATTTAAAAAAGACTTTAAAACCTTTATTATTATTTTAAAATCCACTTTGGGTGAAAAGTCAGGAAAGTAAAAGGATAACAACAGATTTTTTCAGAGTTTTATCAAATTTTTATATTTTTAATATAAAATTTTACATATATATTTTTAAACTGTATAAAACTTATGTATTAAAAGATTGTTCAAGGTACTCAATTGAATTCATTAGCTATATGATAAAATTGTTAAATAATTGGAAGCCAGATTGCTACATTGCTACATACATTGCTAAATAATTGGAAGCCAGATTTGCTACAGATACATTGACAACTAGTTTCTAATGCTAGACATCCAAACAATAAAAAGTAATGATGTGATAAAATCATTTAAAATGCTTAAAATATCGAAGTTTATCAAATTATAATACTTGTATCTTCGAGGAAAATATTTTAAATCTCCAATGAGAATAGGAAATTAACTGTATAGAGTGGATTATATAATTTATTTTAAAATTCTAAATGATTTAAAAACAAAAATTTAACAGGGAGATAAAGAATACCAATAAAAATTCATTGATTAAATTTTAAAAAGTACAGAAAATAGAAAAAACAAAAACTGAAAAGGAAAAAATTGTTTTAAAAATTATATTTAACTGTATTTAACTTACGTATGTATGTAACTTAATGTATTTAATTTTGTCATTACGAAGAAAATTGTACTTAACCATTTTTGATTTTTTTTTCCTTTATATCACAGGTTACAATTTGTTATCTATAATATCTGACATAAGATAATTGCTAAAGCTAATGCAGGCTATTCTTTTCTTTTTTTTGAAAGGATCTTGCATATTTTATGTAATATTTTAAATATACTTTTATTAATGCATTATAATATTAATAATAATTTTATCTTTGTTTTTATTGATTAATTAACGTTTATTAAAATTTTAAATTTCTTAAATGAATCTGATGATAAAATAACATTTATTTTTACAATACTAATAATAAACCATTTATGTATGTATTAGTTATCAAGCCAAAGTAATTTCAGTTCAATTCATGCCAATTGCTGTGTATATAAAGGTAATGATAATTTTATATAATTAAAATTATTTAAATGTAAACAAAGATTGCAAATGTTTTTTATTTAAAATTTATATGAATTTGTTAAAATGTAATACAGATTTATTATTTTATTAAATAAACAAACATCATTTTATAACAAAATATACCTCCTATTTATTCCTGTACATGTTGAATTAATACTTTATTTTTTAATACAAAAATAATTAGAATCAGCATATAACAATGTAGTTTAGAAACTAAACAATATCCAACCTTTAATTTTAGCACATATATTTTTGACTATCCCATAGGACTGTATTATCTTGTCGAATGGTTAATGCTAAAAGAGAAGTTGAATAGGAATTATTTCTGGAGTGATAATGATTCTTTGACTCTCAGTCTCTCTCTGTTCTTAGCTCTGAACATATTTGTTTTGAAACAGTTTGTCTTTTATCAGAATATATACACCTCTTATCCTCATTGAAGATCATTATTATCCTTATTATTCCCTAGTAATCTAAACAAAATATATTACATTTGAATATGATGCTGAAATTTTTTTTTTTTTTTTTTTTTTTTTTTTTTTTTTTT